ATTGTCTTCTTGTAGTAACTCTGTAGGTATATAGTTATAATTGAAAAAATCTACATAATGAATCAAGCAGTTAAATAATTACTTAATATATATTGGATCAATTAATTTTGTGCTAAACACGTTAACAGCAAATGGAAATGATATAGAAATAAGAAAAAAAAATAAGCGTATTATTAATTACTCAGCTCCGGTTAGTCGCTAATTTGCTTTTGAATAAATTGTACATCCGCTATAGAACACCGATATAAATATAATATTTCTCTTTATATAATATTTTATTAAAGAAATTATTTAATTAACGTCTTAATTAAATGATACTGGGTAATTGACATAGTTTTCACGGCAAATAAAAGTATTTATGAGGTAAGTATTTTTTGGAGGATTAAGCAATTTTAATGTTTATATATCCGGCCTACTTTTTATTGCAGAAAGTTCGCTCTCAAAATTAATATGTACAAATGATATTAACATTTTATTTCATTTACTTTTACTAGAGTCATATCTGAGACAAATAATTAGTGGTAATAAGTGAGAAAACCAAAATTAGGGCGGTAAATATTATTTTGGACTTATATAGGAAATATTTTGTAGTCTGAAGTGGCAAAATTAAGGGCGACTGGCCATTAAACAGGATGGTTAAATATTATTTCGGCCCTACATGGCAAACATTTTTTGCCTGTAACGGTAGAGTTGATCTGAATTTTGATGTGTAAAAAAGTAAGAGTGGTAAATATTATTCGGCCCTAGGCAAGAGTTTTTGTTTGTTTGAAGTGTTAAAATTTAAGGCAACTGGCCATAAAAAGAATAGTTATCATCTTCTTCATCATATCAGCTGTTTACTTTCCACTGCTGAAGATAGGCCTCTCTCAAAAGAAGGGTTTTTTCTAGTAGTTGCTACGTTTGGCAGGTTAAATAGCAACCACAGTTAGGCTTTAATGCTGTCTTAACAGGGACGCTGCTACCCATTTCTTTGTATTTAGTTTAAAAATTTATATTTAAAAGGAGTTTTAAATGTAAGTATTCAATATTTTCATAGTACAGTAATAATATTTTCTTTTACTGATTGAATGTATTTAATATTACTTAAATAATGATTATGTTACACAAACTCATGTTTATAATTGAGTTTTAACATTTATTTACAACTGTTTTATAATTAATTTTATAATATAGATTTAATCTAATCGTATTACATTATATTCCTTCCAAAAAGATTATTTATGCATAAATGGTTAAAATTTTACTAAAAAAATTAAGGAGGCAAAGGAGAATAGCGATTATATTTATATACATATTATGAAGAGAAGTCCTCACTGACTCACTAGGGTTGGCACCTCAATTTTCTAAGATCTGTATCTTAATCTAATTATACCATATAGAAACGTCTTATTTGAAGGTTTATAACCGTTCCCTCTTTTTACTTCGTAGGTTAGAAGTAAATGTTAAAATGCAGTGGTACCGGTATCCGCCTCCTCTATCCGTCACATTTACGAGTACACCTAACAGCATTTGAATTACATTCATTTGTATCAGACCTTATGTGTAACTCACCAAGTCATTGTCCGAGGTGCAAATGTAAACTTGCTGCTTCATAATTAAATTTTATTTTTATCGACCTACTGTGTTACTGATAAAAACGTAATTTTTCAATGAATCTATTTCAACAATATCATAAATTATAATTATGTTACTTTATTCCAAATTAAGAATTTAGTTAGAAAGATAAAAACAACAAATTTTACATAACTAAAACAGGTTTATTAAGTGTTTGACGTCATTATGAATAGTAAAAGGAGTAATCTTAAATATGCGTGGGCCAAAGTATTTAACGCAGGTACGTATGATATCATAGAAATATACACATAATATAATATTATACTAAATATACATATATTTTTTTATTAAAATTTACACCAGTTTGTTAATGAATAATAATAATAACATGATAATTATATTTTATAAATTTACTACTACTTTTACTACCAACTACTACATTTGAATCTAAAAAAAAAGTTACAAAAATTTCTATACTCTTTCAATATCTACAAAAGACATAATTTAATGCAGATTTCTTAAAAAGAACTTAGTTTTCATTTTATTGTATACGTTTGATAGGAACTCTTATAGTACAGGAAGCGTCAAATCGCTTCTGATCTACTCTTGTACCATACCCCACAAATAAGCAAGTCACGCAGAACTTCTACGTTCACACGTCCAATGCATATGCCTGAACAACAGTAAATGGTAATGTACGAGTACAATCGATATTATTATGAAATGGCTTATGAAAATGACAACTTGTATGCAGTACAGGTAATACTACCGGTTTTACTTGTACTTTTATATAAAAAATATGTTCTTAATTGTAATCATTAATGATGACAATTACTGCAGTTTGTGATAAATAAATACTAATATTCTAATACTAATATTCTTTTTTGTGAAAATAAAAAAATGAGGTTACTAATTGTTATTCATGTTGAAAGTTCCATGTTTCTCTAATAAGATGGGATACAAACTGATTTAAGAAACGTAAAAGATTAAACTTTTACGTCATAATAAAATCTACATTGCTGTATATATAAGCTTTTCACCTGTGATTTCTGTCTATCTCTTTTCCTTCCCTTTAAGTTTGTAAGAAGTAGATATACATTTATATAAGATTATTTTACTATAATAGACTAGTTAAGCTGATTCTATAGACGTTGTCCTGTCCAATTTCTTTTTGTTTCTTTCTTAAAGTTTAAACTATCCAAAATTATATTATTTCATCCAGTTAAAGGTTTTTTTTTTTAAAGTTTAATTGGAGTATTACAAAATAAATAACAATAAAAAACAATTAAACAAATCAGTTCTGCTGTTCTCAAGTGATAAGTTTACAAACGAACAACATTGAATGCACACGATCTGATGCCGATTATAATTACAAAAGAAAAGTATTTATTTTTCATGAACTTTATTAAGTTTATTTCCATTCCTTGAAAATTTTCTGTGTTCAATTTATTCGCTTAATGCAAAAATATCTTTATGTACCAACTGGTGTTAGGCTTTTCATAAAATTATAATTTATGACGCTGTAAAAGGTATTCAATAAATATTACATAGACATTGAGAGATGTCTATATTTCCAGTTTATTGCTCCTTCGTATTACCACCTTTTATTCAACCTAATAGATTTTTTATATATCCATACACTTACGATAATTTTATGTTTTTGTAATATATATATAATATCAATAATGAGATATGATATTTTAATATTTATCAGGAAAATATGTAATAACAGTATGAGTACATACGACCATCTGTACATGTTGTTTTGTCCTGTTACCAGTTTTTATAAACATATGTTTAATAAGTGTTCTAGTTTAATGTTTCAACATAAAATCAGTATGGGACATCAATAAACCCTTTTCTTGTTAATTTAATTCCTTAAAATTTATTCATAATTGTCTATCATTTACTAAAACACCATTGAATTAATTGAAATCCTCTCTCATTTTCGAAGATTTTAGGCAAAAAATCTAGTGGACCTACCATGAAATGTTTTCCGAAATTTCGGATCCGAACGAAACAAAAATTTTATGTTAAAATTACTTGATACATACCGTTTAAAAATATTAAAAATGCTAAAGTATCGTTCCTTTGGACTTTTATGGTAGGATTTATGACAAATGAAATGTTAAGCTCTATTTATAGGGTCGATTTTGATACGAACAAAAACACAAAATTGAGTCCGAAAATTCAGATTTTCATTTCATGGTAGACCCCCTGAAAGTGATTATAAAAATAGCTTATATTTTACTGAACTCGGTGTTATCCTGCGGAAGTCCATATCACTGCGTATTTGAATAATAACAATATGGAAGGTTTACGAAACTTCTGGTAGTAATAGTGGTGGTCAATCTTCGAGTGTTCATAGTCATACACATACTAATAGTAGCGTTATTAAACAAAATAGTTCGAATTAAATAACCAGTCAAATATAGCCTAAATATATATTTATATATATTGTTATTTTTTTAGGAATTATTTCAGAAATTTCTACTATTACGTGATCAAGCAGGCAGATCCGCGGGAAACAGATAATATGTAGGTATATGCATACAGGGATATGATAAGTGGATAAATTGCCAGCTAAGTGGTTACTTTCATGTGCATACCATACTAGCTTGCTTCCATCTCTGGCATTCTACAAGTACCTAATCCTAACTGGAAATCCACTTTCTACGTCTTAATATTGTGTTGTGATGGTTCAGCTGTCCTAAAATGAGGTTTGAGAATTTCTTGTTTCGTCTTAGAAGGGCGGAGAAATGGAATGCATCGCTATAAACTATTATGCGTTTCTAGCTGTAATTGCTTTTGGAGTTATAATTGGATTAATATAAATCCGTGAATTATATTTACTTCAAGTTTCTCTACGTAAGTAGTTGTCATATTTATACTAATAATATAAAAAGAAAAGACTTGATTGTTAATTTGTAATGGATAAACTTAAAGAGTAATCAACCAAATTTCATTTTTCCATGTATAAAAATCTATATTATCAGCGAGTAACACAAACTATGTATTAATTTCGAAAATTCTGTCTACCCATGCGAAGTCTGGTAGGATTACAAGTTCTTCATAAAACCTTATTTGACTATAAATAATAATAAAGCGGAAACACTTTTTTCTAACGAAACATGGTCCAAAAGTTAATAATCTTTTTGCTTTTGCCCAGATGTTATTATGGGGGACTCTATGTCATTTTAAATTCATTTGAAAATACTCCATTAAAGGATGTTAAGGATAATTTCGATATCATATTGTCTAATAATAAATAAATACCAACTATTCATTACTTAATAATTAACTCTTTCCTTTTTCCATGTGGTAAGGGTTGGCCTATTGTATGTCAGAACCACAGGACCAGATAAAATATTTACTATAAATTAATTTAATATGTATATTTATAACGACTTATATCGCAAATATAATATTAAAGATATACAACAAACCTCAGAGAAATCTCTTTGTGACATTTTGTTCTTGCTATCCTCTTCTCACATGAACCTGGAAAAACAAAATGTTCTTTAGAAATAAGCACTTTTTTATATATATAATTGGGAATAGCTAAAAATGACAGCTCATATAATAGAAAGTTAGTAATCGTTGCTTAGAGATGTGTATAGTTAAAATAAACTGCAAGTAGGCTTATATAAAAGCTCATTTAAATCGTAATTCTACTGTAGTTTCTAAGTTAGCTGTTGAGAAGAAACTATACAATAAACTCAACAGTTAGTTATCTTTTCAGATCTCTGTTAATGTAAATGTATTATGTCTAAAATAACACGGTCGTTGAATATTTAAAAGCCCGTGCATAATCGACTAAGGCCAAGCACGTTTGTCTTCTAAATAATTCTAGTAAGTGATCGTTTAGAGAGTAATAAATAGGATTTGTTTAATAATATGTTTAATGAATCTTTTAAATTTATTAAAAACAAGTCGATTATTCAAAAATCCAATATATCCTTTTATAAGTAACATGGACGTTACAGAATATACTGTGATAATTAGCCTACGTTATTTGTTAATTCCTAAGGATTAAGGTGCTTTTCCCTCCGTGTGTTCATACTAAAACACAGTCATGCAAGCACAGTTATCTGGCGACAGAAACACGTTTATTCATTATAAACTTCAATCTCCTGCGAGAAGTAAGATATAGTGTAAACCTCGATATTGGTTGGTTGGTTTATAATTATTGCTTTAATGCGTAATTTTGAGAAAAGTAGTCCGTTTGATGATCCGTGCCTCTACATTGAATATAGAATTATAAACTCGTAATATTAAAGATGAAATTTGTGTGACATGGTAAAGAGGATATCGTTTGTTGGTGGTCGAAGTAATCTGATGGCACTTATCCGTGAGTGGTCGTCAAACTTGGTGCTGATAAATTGAAATAAAAAGGATTGAATATTAATGATATGCCTAGAACATATGATACAGCGCTCCCTAGTCTCAAACTAAACAGAGTCTCTACAGTGGATTTAAGGTGATCAGACTAATGAAAACAGACGTACGACATGAATATAAAATATTTGTACCTGCAAATATCTGCAATTACTACCAACTCTATCTGCAAGATAAACAGCATTTAGAAAAATATGTTTAGGGTTATAATTCGTAATGGAGACATTTTCAATTATTGTTATTATGATAAACGTGTCACTCAATATATTTTTATATCGCCATACCTATTAGAAAAGAAATAGAGGAAGTAATACTGCAGTACTTGGATTAATTTGGTTTCTATCGCTGTTTTCTATTTAAAATACACTATTGGGACTTAACGCGATGAAAAATATTTTGGGTATAAATAGTACCTACATACCTGGGGGTCTACCAGGAAATGTAATTCCGAAGTTTCGGATTCAATTTCGTGTTTTTGTTCATACCGAAATCGGTGCAGTAAATGAAACTTAACATTTCGTGAATCATAAATCCTACCACAAAGGAATGATATTTTAATATTTTGTAAGATTTTAATCGGTATGCATGTAATTTTAATAACAAATTTGTGTTACGGTCAGCCCCGAAAATTCGGAAAACATTTCATGGTAGGCCCGCTGTTTCTTTATTGCTGTCGTTTCGACGTGGATTGCACTACGTAGTGATCACGATAGAACCATGTTTTGTAGTAGTAGTAGTAGTAATGTGTGTAATTAACGTTTAAAATTAGTTCTTATATTACCAGAAAGTTAGAATGACCACAAAAGACTGCAAAGTTTTTGAGACTGATCAGATTCAAACTCAAGACTTGCAATCTATTACTCGAGGTAGTATATACCACAGAGTTTTGGCGCTCTAACAGATGTAGTTAGAATAATAAATATGAATACTTTAATAAATATAAATAATGATAAATATTTGTAGATAAATTTATTGTGAGAAAATCGCATATATTTGTCATTGTGAATGCATAAAGCAACAATGTACACTTCAAGTTATGTAATGCTCAGAAATATTGCTATAGCGATGATTACGGGTACATAAAACTAGCTCGTAAAAGTCCTACTATTGCATCGATTTTAGTTTACGGGTGTAGCTCTACGAATGGGTTTATTTGCTATGATTTAGTAGGTACGACTAAGGATACTCTTAGACCATATTTCGGTGAATATACATGTATAATTTTTTTTCACACTTAACCTTGTTGGTAACTCTGTTTGAATCATAGATTGTTTTATTTGCTCTTCTAACGTATGTATATGTTTATTTTTTTTTTTATTTAACATATTATGTGTATGTTTATATTAGTCTAATTATATGTTTATAATATATGAAGATATTAAGTATTACTTTTTACGTAAGCGTCAGGGGTGTCCATCTCTAGAAACCTGTCCGATTCTAGAATAAGGATATACGGGTATGCGATCCCGACCTCTCAAGCCGCTGCAGTGTCACAGTCCTTTCCTCAACTGCAGTTTCCTCCCCCCCCTTCCTTTCTCTCATAAGTCCCTTATTCCTCTCATTTACCAATTTTCTTTATGCATTTCTAATGTTTCTTTCCTTTTTCCTTAATTCTTTCGTCCATATCGTAAGTGGAGGAAACCACCAACAAATGCATTCTCAAAGAGAGTTGATGTCAGATAGGCGGCCGATCGTAAAACTAAAAGCCAAATCTTTTTGTAATATGGATATAAACATATTTCGCCGAACCTTAATAATAATAAGGGTAGGAAAATGATGATGATGATGATTAAGTATTATTTTTTATATTTCATCAATTCAATAACGCACCGCCTACTTATTTTTCGGTTTGTCCAATAATTGACTTGTAGAGAATACCGTTCAGTGTTAAGTCCACCATGTGTATATAGTTTCACTGTGCATTAAAGTTTAAATAAATAAAATAAATATACTGTGGAACAATAGCAGTTTTTTTATTTAATTATATGTAAAATTCATTCACACATATAAGTATGGCAACTACTGGCAAAGCTCTCCTTAAGGGGCTTATGTTCAGGAGTGGGCAGTTAACGGCTGGTATGATGATAAAAGTAATTTCGCGATTCACTGTAATATTAGACCAGTATTTTTTTTATACAACTTAGAATGGCAAAAAAGCTGACGGCCCACCTGATGTAAAGTGGTAACCGTCGCCTATAGACATGAGCAGTACCATGGACATAACAGAGTATACTGTTTCGCCCATGATACCCCCCATGCGGTGCCATTCCTGAGGACTCAGGTGTTATTCCTGTGTACACTGTAAATTCACGCCATATCCTATCCTTCAAACCGAAACACAGCTATGCAAACACAACTGCTTCACGGTTGAAACACGAAAAAAGTATAAACATTATAATATATCCTAGATTCACATATAATTTTTCACATAATATTTGGCGTGGCGACTGACTGGTAGGATAGGTATACAGGGCGGACTTAATGCCATCAGGCATTGAGTCCGCCCTGTGTATTTTCTAATGTGTGCAAAAGTATAAATAAATACAATAAATAAATAGAAGGTACTTTTATTATACTAAATGTTGGAAGCAAAAGCATATGAAGTACCAAGTTATACACTTGACACAATTCCTTTACCAGTAGAGATGTATTAAAAAGAAGTTTATTTTAATAAATTAAAAATGATCACAGATTATTTGCATTAACAATGTCGATCGTATATCGTATTTTAATTAATAGGTTATGATCTCAGCTTTGTGGATTATATTACCATAGTATTACCGTTAGTACCGGAAAGAACGACATTTCTTACGAAACAGTTCGGTTTGTCGTTACAAGAGCAAGCCATGTAATCTTTTATAACTACAATATAATAAACCAGCAAATAGATCGGAAATAATTTGAGTCGTATATATTTTTTTATGATGATGTTTTGTAATCACTGCTACTAAAATTCCGTTGCTGATGACATATTTCAATTTAGAATAAGTACTTCTAGCTGTGTGGGATGACCTCCCACTAGATGGAGTTACGATCTCAAATGCATTGCAGGGAGACAGTGGATGTAGATGGCTCTGGACTGTTCCTTATAGCAGTCTATGTCCAGCAGAGGACCGGATAATGGCTGAAATGATGATGATGATTCTAGATAAATAAAACATAAAATTTAAAGATAAATAAAATAAATAATGTAATATATAAACATATTGTAAAATCCTATACAGTCTAAAACTTCGTACTGTGGATACTAGACTACTAGAAAGAAATAGGTATATACCTATTTCTTTTTTTAAATTTATATTTATTACATTTATGTAGGTAAAAAACAGTGTAGCAAAATATCTATTCAATATAATATAAAAATTTAAAATGAAATCAAATTTAAACGTTTAAAAATTAAATAATTTGTGAGTTTGTTACAAATAAAAAACTCTGACATTTTTATTATTATTTCATTTTACATACTTTTGTAAAATCTACTATTTGACCCTGACTAAGATAAATAAGTATAGACTAGGCCCAACATTATAATTGAAAAAATGTTTTACAACTGAAAAAATCGGTAAAGCAGTAGCGGAATTATATAAATATTAATTATTAGTAATAACAATAATAATTCTTTTTATTATATCATACATATTTTTCTTACTCGAAAAATTATCGAGGGTACTGTATTGTATTGTAAAATATTTTTTGTACATAATTTACAATGGACACATTAAAAGATTTAATATACAACGGCGGACTTATCCCATAGAGGGATCTCTTACAGTCAATCTTTGAGAAGCTGAAAGAAAACTATAGAATGATTTTTTTTTTCTGTATCCATCCGACAAAGGCACCTTTGCCTTGGAGCTATTTCAACGTAAACAGTAGCCAGGTGGTCAAAAAATTCAAATTCTAACTCGTATCGGCCATCATTATATACACGTGAAGTGGCGTGAGCAGACCAATCATACGTAATTTGAAACATAAAGTATACTCATACATGTATGTAATGTTATTTTAAATATACATTGTGTGTCACGTTTCTTGGATTTATTTGGACAGACTCTTATAGTTTTTGTAGTAATAATTACGTCTTAAAAACTTAATATTGATGC